GGAGGCATAATAATAATGTAATCAGTGATTCACTATTATACATCAGGACGAACAAATTTATAGTTAAGGGGTAAACTCACAAATCACAATACGTGCGAGGCGGGGAGGGCATTACGTGCTTATAATTTGTTGTGTTCTTTGTAAGATCCGATAATTGAAGATTCTTTGAGAGAGCTTGCACCCAAATTCAATGATTTGCTTTGTTTATAAGTTGCTTTAATTTAAAATATCATGAAGTACTTCAGTCACAAAATATTATTCTCTATATACTACGAGTATATTAATAGCTTATTTCTTAGGATGTTTTTACTTGAATTGTTTTCAATCCAGATCAGTTCAGATCAGATCAGACCAGACCGAACCAAAAAATTTCAATTCAAATAAAAACATCATTATAATCTGTCGTCCCTTAATATATACTCCATATATATTTATAAAGGCTAAAAATGGTATACTTTCATGAGAGCATTTATACCATAAAATATTTTATATCACTTACACATTAGAAATATATAATACTACATCCGTTCACTTTTAATTGCAACATTTAACTTTTTGCACTATTCAAGTATTTTACTTTGACTACTGTTTATTTATTAATGTATAATACATTAAATTTTGAAAAAATATTGTAAAAATCCTGTCAGTTTAAATTTTCAAAATCTGAATTTATTAAAGATTTTAATGATAAAGAATGAAAGATATCAATGGTCAAACTTGTGCGTCGACAAACGTGAAAAGTAAACTGTTGCAATTAAAAAAGAACGGAGGAAGTATCATATACTTCTTCTGTCTCTTAAAATTTTGCCAAGTTTGACCGGCACGTAGATTTATAAAGTAAAAACTGTGTAATTGAGGTTTGTGTAGGGGAGAGAGAAATAATTAAAACTACAAATTATTTTTTTAAACGAGAAAGTGCTAAAGCTAAAGGAAAGTCAACAAAGTTTTAAGAAACGAAGGAGTACAAATGTACAATATACGGAGTAATAAGCATGTCATTGACCAAAATTTAACATCATATAATATAATAGTCCAAGAAAGCGTCACCCACCTAGGAGCTCTTAGACTCCTACGTGAGAGGCAATGAGGAAAAACCGCGCATTATATAACCACCAAAAGGGGTTAGTGGGTTACTATGCTAAAAAATGCATAGAGCCTCTGCAAGTACCGGGGACAGAGCTCAACTCTCTATCTGTCAGATTGAAATTATAGTCCAACTTACATCCTTTCAACGTACTGTTCGATCGGGGTTGGGGGCCCTCAGGGATGGAGTGTCATCCTTTTTTTTTATATAACCACCAAGAGTGTGAAATGTACAATTTAGAGAAAGTTTGGTAGAATGTAAAATAATTACATGCAAAGTTTAAAAACGTAAAAGTTTGAAATGTACAATTTAAAGTCTTCATGGTGTGACTTGATTATTTCATATAAACTTGTTGGGGTAATTGGCTCAATACGAGTTCGGCCCAACACCCCTCAAGGAGAAAGGGATCAAGGGTAGCAGCTCATCGGAAGGCTCATGCGACGCTCGTTGAAACTCGAACAACCCTCGTCCCCTATGCCTTGATTCGTTTAAACCAGGTAGCCAGCGGAGGCCCTAGCTCACTAGCTGTGAGCCCTAGCTCGTTGAGACTCAAACGACCCTCATGTTCCTCCATATCATCACTACGAACTACCAAATAATGGTACTATAAATAGTAGCATTTATTTCATTGTTAGAGTTTGACAACTTGTATTCACTAATATTAGCTCTAATTCTCGATACTCATAGCTAGACGCCCGACTCGGCTTTTAGTAGGGTGTGCTGTAATTGTTCGTTATTACTTATTAAGAACTCGGCCCACCTAGTGTCTTCCTCTTATTTGGTAGATATTTGTGCCTTTATACTCACTTAACTCACCAAAATATCCATCGAAGCCCAACGGAACGTGTTGGTCCCTTGGAGTTGGAGGAATTAACCTCAACAAAACTGTAGCAGACTTTTTTTTAAACATTCACACATCATCATGTAAAGTATTTTACGTGGGAACAGAATGATAAAATATTTTGCCAACTTTTTATAAAGTATTACAACGCCTTTACATTCTACTTAAAAATAAAGAAAATAAAAATAAATTAAACATCCAGCATAACAATGTAATCTGATACTCCGTAGATTTTACCTGCAAAGTGATTGTTTCTCTAAACTTTACATGCATGCAATTATTTTGCGTTTAAAGATTTAAGGGTAAACTAACAAATGTGACCTAAGTGTTTTATACAAATCAATTTTAATGTAACTTAGACCGAACTAATAAAAACACCAGTAATCCAATATAAATATGTTACCAGGTTAAAATAGCAGTTAAATACGTAGTATTTACTATACCCATACTTTATTTTTATTTGTAGTTTTCCATACTTTTAAACATATTATAATTATAGTATAAGTAACTTTTTAAATTCTGTATTTTTATATCATAAATAATTTGAAAAACATAATAAAGTTAAAAAATGTTTCCATTCATTAACGTCACGTAGACCCTGTTTGATAATGTTGGAATTGACAGAATTGGCAAAAATTGCAGAAGATATGGTTGAATCTAGGTAGAATTCCGAAAATAGGAGTAAAAAAGTTTTGAAATTCCAAAATAGTAGTATCATGTTTTTTACTCCTTGAATATGAGTAAATTTCTGCCAAGTTTGGCATCACTAGGCTTTAAAACATGACATTTTTCCAAACCTGGCAAACTACTCCTGTTCAGGGAATAAAAAACATTATACTCCTATTTTGGAATTTCAAAACATTTTGGGAAAACTGTCAGATAAGCCCTTCTACTTTGTACGGAAAGTCAATTAAGCCCCTCTACTCTAAATTCGTTCATTTCAGTCCACGAAGTCTAAAAAAACAACCAATTAGGCCGTTTGGAAGGTTACCAACCGGTAACCCCGTTCACTGCTTATGTGGCAGCCTAAGTGGCAGTTTTTTAGTTGGCTGAGTAAGTTGACATGTCAAATATTTTTAAAGATGCAATGGGAGTATATTAAAAAATAAAAAACTAAACCCTAAAGGACGAAGTTCTACTCTGGGTCGTAATAGTCGTCGTCTTCCGAGTCTTCTTCCTCCCTGGGTCGTAACAGTCGTCGTCTTCGAACGAAAGCAGATGGCATCTTCATCCGCATCTACTGCCACTAAAGGACGAAGTTCTACTCTTTTGTATGAACCGCCTGTGTATTGCCTTTGTGGATTGAAATCCCCCTTGTGTGTTGTACGTGAAACAGGGAGAAGTTTTTATGGTTGTCAAAAATGGAAGGTAATTCTTTCGCCATTGTATTCATTCTTTCGCCATTGTAAGCGAAACAGGGAGAAGTATTAATTCTTCGAATTCGGTTTTTAAAAAGATGGGAGTGTTAAAGTTGTTGTTTGTTGTTAAATTTTGATGGTAAACAATTCCCCCATTGTCAATTTAATGTTCCCTTTAATGTTTGAACATCCCTGACATTCCATTCCAGGTTAACATGGGATGTGGATTTTTCTTGTGGAAGGATGATGTAGAGATAAGAGGCACACATCATGGAGAAGAGATGAAGACAAAAGCAGACAATGTGAGGTTCATGACTACTGCAATGGTTGAACAAAGGGCTGTACAAGGACATATTGCTTATCTTACAAAGCTACTTGAAAATGAAGCCAAGGAAAACAAAAAATTTAGGCAATCAGTTGCTTTTGTTTTCATTGTTGTAGTTGCTTTTGTTGGTATGTTGTATATGCACTTCAACACAAAAAAATGCATATATTAGTGGTTGTAGTAGTGTGTTGTAATCTGGTGTGTTGTAATCTGGTGTGTTGTAATGCAAATTTAGGCAATCAGTTGCTTTTGTTTTCATTTGGTCTGTAATGACAGTTTTTCATTGCTAATGTAGTACTTATTGATGACCATTTAGCACTTTCCATTGTTAATATAGTAAAACTTTTCATCCTTTGTTGACTTTTGGTACAATTTAATGGGCTGAATTGAAGATGAATTAAACATTAAACGGATCCCAACATTAAATATATATGTACCTGTTATAGTAAAAAACAGCTTCATAGTAAAGGTGAATGGGTTGAATTGAACATGATTGTACATCCAAAAACCAACACTGATTTGAGAACTTAAAAGCATGAGTTCTGGCCCACATATACCATACGTACAAGCAACTTTATAGCCAATATTCACCCCAAAAAGCTCACAAAGTTGAGCCAAACATACTGCCAACAACATGTTCAAGCCAAACTACCACCACACATTACTTATCCAACAAAACAACTAAGTCTTTACATCCCATTACATAAAAGCCATCAAGCAAAACAAAAAGTCTTTACATCTTCATCACCCATCCAGCAAAAAAACCAGAAGACTTTCCATCCTGCAACCTTCATTTGCCCTTTATCTTCATCATCCATTCAGTACTGTTTCACTTGGCTGCCCAGGCTGAAATGAGGTAACACCACATTTGAATATACAAATTTACAACAAATTCCAGCACAACAACATTGAAGTAGACAGATTTTAACTTACATCAAGAAGGGTTTCACCAGTGTTGTGATTGTAGTACACACCAAAACCACTTTGTTGTCTTCCCCTCCCTCCTCCTCTAGTAGATCTACCCTGCCTTGCACCTCTTCTTCTCGGATTAGCTCTTGGTATTTCTTCAGTAGGTGTGTTTTTATTAGTACAAGAAGACTTATTATGTCCTTCCCCTTTACAATTGGAACATTTCATAACCCTTCCCTTTCTTGTAAGTTGTGAACCAGATGAGGGTGCTTCAGATGCTTCCCGGATTCTCTTCTTCTTTGGGCGTCCACTCATCTTCTTTGGCACAGGAGGCAGAATATCTTCATGCTGAGTTCGTGGCCATAACAACTCTCCATTAATTGGTGGAAGAGTGTATGAATAAGTTCTCTGGTAGAATTCCTTAGAGTAGCAGTTGTCCACATATTGTTCTGGATTTTGGCCATTATCAAAAATAGCACATATGGCATGCGCACAAGGTATTCCAGACAAATTCCACCTCCTACAGGAACATGTTTTACCATTCAGACTGACCTTGAATTGTTGTTTTCCCTTTTTAATTTCATAGCCATCGTCCCCGTTGAAATCCACATTCCATCCTTGGCTAGCTAAAATGTTTTTGTTCAATTTATTCATAATCACAGGTCCAAATTGTCCTGCCAATGTTAATTATTGGACTGAAATTATGCCAACCAGAATATAAAGGGAATTAATTATCCATTACCAATTGAAGTAAATATTATACCTGACCACTTTTTGACATATTTCCTTTTTTTGGCAATCCTTTTCATCATTGCAACTCTAATGTCCTCTAGCATTGGAATAATAGGTTTTCCTCTGCATTTGAGAAGGGTGCTATTGAAGGCCTCTGATAAGTTGTTCTCAACAGTATCACATTTCACATCCGTTCTAAAATATGCCTTGCACCATAATTTGAAATCAATTTTGCGCAAGTCTTTACCAGCATCACTATCAGCCTTATCCAACTCCGCTAATGCAGCCTGCAATTGTTCCTCGCAAGTGGACTTTGCACACATCCAGAACAGGTTCTTTAGAAGCAAACCTCTGTGGGTTTTGCTCCAATTCGCATGAATGTGTCTAGCACAATTTCGGTGCTCAGCCTCTGGGAAAACCATTGCAATCACATTACAAAGACCCTGCAGTGCCAAGATATATGTAATTAACAGTCATAACAGCTGATATTGTAAGCTTAAATCGATAAATGTATATATAATGTTACTTACCTTTTGTTGGTCACTTATGATAGTCCACATATCTGACCTAGTGATTTGCAGATCAGTTTTCAGAAGCTCTAGAAACCAGGCCCATGACGAGTTGTTTTCAATCTCAACTACCGCCCATGCAATGGGGTACATTTGGTTATTGGCATCTCTACCTACTGTTGATAGTATCTCCCCTTTCAGTTGACCTTTAAGAAAGCACCCATCTAGTCCAACAACCTTCCTACAACCTTCAAGAAACCCTTTTTTAACCGGTCCGAAGCACACATATATGCGTTGAAATATAGAGGGAGAATCAGGAACTACTCTTGTAGTATGAATGACCATTGTACTGTCAGGAATAGACTGTAGGCATTCCTCTGCGTAGTTTCTGATTTTTTTGAATTGCTCTTTCCAATCTGTTTGGGTTTTCTTTTGAATAATCCTCAGAGCCCTGGTAGCCATACTGGTAGAAACGTGTATTTTGAGCTCAGCTTTAACCAGTTTCTTCAGCTCCAATGCAGTCATAGTAGGATCATCAACAACCTTATCCTCAAACTTTTCTGCAATCCATTTCTGACTAACTATCCCCAACTTATACTTCAAATTGCATTGATGTTCTTGGTTGAAAACCGACACTGGAAAGCACTTCAATCTCTCAACCCATGTACCAGTACAAGAAAAAGAACATGTACCACCACATTTCACCCGGACTCTGTGTGGCTCATTTTTGGCAAATTTTATCTCTTTTCTCATGCACAGCATATCTAACAAGAGCACTCTTGAATTGTGTACCATCTTCAAAATACATTCCCACCTGTATGTTAGGAGGCTCACAATCAGGATTATAAGTACAAAAGTGTTCTCTAGGTTGGTCATGTATTTCTGGTTCACCATTGTAGCTTCTTGGATTCGATGAGTCATACTCAACACTGTCTTCCCCTTCTGAGGTGTCACTTTTAGTTTTGTATTCCTCCTCTGCATCATGTGATGTTAACCCTTCACTCGTTTGGTCAACATCTGCATGATCACCTATAACAGGTTCTTCATCATGTTGGGGTACAGGTTTACCATTGGCATTCGTAGTTGGCACAGGTAATAGAGGAATTTCAACCAATTCAGCCTCATCAAGACTGTGATGTACATAAATCTCACACTTCCCACACCTTGTACCCATATATATCAGATCTATGGTTGTTGCATCATTGAACAATTCATGTAACATCTCCATTGGTTGTTCTGGTGTTTTGTAATACAGCCCACAAATGTTCCCATATGATCCAGATTTTAGAGACTTCATCAGATGAGTATAGCTTATGAAATCAGGATCTACTTTAATGATGTCCACTTCACCACCTACGTACATCGTAGAAGGAGTACTAACAAAGTTCCCTCCATGGTGAATAATGAGCTCGACCCTGTCAAACATGCTGTACAAAACAACCAATGAATCACGTCAAGGAAAAAAATCACTACTCAAATTACGGGGAAAATGTTTAAACACACACATTACCAATCAATTCCACTTAATCGTGTATACAAACAGAGTTGGACAAACAGCGAATCCGACCAAGCAAATACATGTAAAAATGTGTGGGGTTGTATAAAAGTAGAGTTCGAATATTACCTCTGAGGTTGTACTAAATCCGACCACTCAAACAGATGTTGGTTGCGCTTCACTTCTGGTAAGGACCATTTCAATGGCGTCGTTCTTCTTCACTGAGAGCTGAATGGCGTCGCTGGCAACATTGAAACATTAGGGCTTAATTTGAAATGTTTAGGGTTTAGTTTTTTATTTTTTAATATACTCCCATTGCATCTTTAAAAATATTTGACATGTCAACTTACTCAGCCAACTAAAAAACTGCCACTTAGGCTGCCACATAAGCAATGAACGGGGTTACCGGTTGGTAACCTTCCAAACGACCTAATTGGTTGTTTTTTAGACTTCGTGGACTGAAATGAATGAATTTAGAGTAAGGGGGCTTAATTGACTTTCCGTACAAAGTAGAAGGGCTTATTTGACCGTTTTTCCAAACATTTTTGCTCCTATTTAGAGCAATTTATATTGAATCTATTGAATTCCGAAATAACTTTATCTTATTAAAAAGAAAAAAGATAAGATATAGTCATATTCAATTTTAAAGGAAATTGTAGCTTTCATTATGTTAGATTGTTACACATGCAATTTAGCTCAATCACGTAAGTTTTCAAGTTTGATAAGAGGTTAGGTAAATTAATTATGCTATAAAAAAATAGGCTATATTCTCTTTATGTGATTTATGCTTTAATTTTAGTATTCATGAAAGATATGACTATGTTACTTTGCTACATTTTATGACTATTTCTTATGTGACATGTATTGTCACATAGTTAAGTGTAAAATTTATCAAAAGTTAATGTGACTACATTTACTACTATAGTCATTACATTAAAGAGGTCTTAATAATAAATATGTAATTATTTTTAGTAAAACACATCTAAAAGAGGACTCTACAAGTAAAGATCATATCCCAGTTAAATAGACAAACTATATCAAATTAAATCACAACAGATGATAGAATATAAGATTAGATCAGATCAGATCATATTAGATTAAATAATACAATATTAGATCAGAAAATTCTAGTATAAGTGAAAATGCCATGGAATGTACTACCTAGGTCCGCCCCAAATTGATTTGCAATTTTAAGTTTGGGAGATGATAAAGTTAAATTTTCTTTGTAAATAGTTAAATCAATTTTAATAATTAAATTTTAATATCTTAAAACAATAAATAAAACCAAACGGTGTTATCAAGAAAAGTTGATTTGCAAATCATTTTCGTACAAAAGAAGTAATAAAATACTCTCTCCTTCCAATATACTCTGCCAAATATCCTTATTTAGTTATTCCAAAATAATCTATAATTCTCGTTTAAAGTAATAAATATGTGGTTGGAATTATTTATCTTTTCTCTACGCAAATAACAAATAGACAGTCTTTTTTTTTATTATTGTACGTACATGTCAAATTTGGCCAAATTTTATAGGGCTTTTTCCTTGAATATTACTAATTTGAAGCTAGTTTCCAAAAATGTGACCATTTTTTACAAAAAGACAAAAAAGTGATTAAAAAGGTCACATATTTGGAAAAACTTGATGTTACTGTCATTTTTATGTCACTGTCGAATTTTTATGTCACTACCAAACTTTTATATCACTTTTGAAAGGTCACAACGATTTTCATGTAACTTTCACATGTCACTATACCAAAAAACGTGTCACTGTGTCGTCGGAAAAATATTCCGACGACTTTTCTCTATCAATTTTTTCGCCAGAAACCATCACTCATCTACCGCCTCGACACCGACACCGCCACGTGAAACCGCCTACGGCCCCACACCCAGCTCTAGCCCCCTCCCATGCACCCCTTGCGCTGCCCCTTCCAATCACCCCCAGCCCCTAGCCCCCTCCCTAGCCCCCCAGCCCCCTCCCCTGCACCTCCATCAACCTCCCCAGCCCCCCTCCCCTGCACCTCCATCAACCTCCCCAGCCTATCCCAGCCCCCATCCCCCAGCCCCACTGCCACCGCCGGTCCCTACTACCCCTGACCACCACCATCGCCCCCGTTCCCCGCGGTCAACGACAATCAGCCGCCCCACACGAAACACAACCAATCTCAGATCTGAAACTAAATGTAGCCGTCATCGATCGGAGATCCAAACCCTGGCAGCCGTCATCGCAGATCCAAGCCATGGCGGCCGTCATCGCAGATCCGAGCCCTGGCAACAGTCATCTGTTCGATGCTCGCAACCTCCAGGTCAACGCCGCCCTCTGATCGACGCTCTTCATCGTTAGTTCGTCACCGTGTGCAGCTTGTCGCTTTCCATCGACACGCCGCCACTCGTCATCACCGGGGCTCTGCTGTCCTCTACTTGTCGCTCGCCATCTCCATAGCTAAGTAGAAGAAGGAAGAGAGGAGGAGGGACTCACCAGTTGACCACTGTTGGAGTTAACCTTGTTGTTTATTATTTCATCATGTTTAATTTAGTTTATTTTGAGTCATTGATGCATTTTAGACTAGAGTGTGAGTGCACGGCGGGATGAGTCATGCCAAGTAGTGCGCGTCGCGTGGCACCGTGCATATGTTGTAGCGGCACTAATGTGTGTGTGCGCCGTTGCAATAGTGTTAGTCTAAGTTGGGTCAATTAGTTAAATTGCATATAAGTTACTACGTATTTGTTAGGCATGCATGTAATACGTACGTGTAGTATTACATTAGTTCTAGTTTAGTACGTGTGTAGTGGGTGAGTGCTTTAGTGGGTGGTTACAAGCATGCTACATGGTGTGTGAGTGGCTATTTATATGTGTAATCAGTTTGCTTTATTTAAGATATATGAAGAGATACGTATATGAGATTGAATGATGTTTTGCCAAAAGCTACGTATGAATCTTTGAGCACTACAAGAAAAGAAAACCTATGCATGTTTTTTTCTTACGCATGTATTTTTCTTCTTCCTAAGCATTAAGCTGCGCATGCATTTTCTCTCCTAAGCAAATCCATCATTTGGTATCAGAGACATGGTAGGCGAAGGTTCGCGAACTCCGTCACGGTCGTCGGTACGTCGTGGGCGGAGTCCGACGCGGCGAGGCGGCCGCGAGGTGGTGCAGCAGCAGCGTGTCGTCCACCAGGCCAGCAGCACCGTCGTCTACCCGACGTTGACGGCAACGAACTACTTCGAGTGGGCGCTCATCATGAAGGTGAACATGGAGGCCCAAGGTGTGTGGGATGCCGTCTAGGGTGGCGGGAGCTTCACCGAGGATAGGGTGGCACTTGCGGCAATTTTGCGAGCCGTACCACCGGAGATGCACTCCACGCTTGCCGTGAAGGCGACGACAAAGGAGGCATGGGATGCCATCAAATCCATGCGTGTGGGCGATGAGCGTGTCCGTGAGGCCAAGGCACAAACTCTACTCAAGGAATTTGATGTCGTCCGCATGCGGAGCGGGGAGACGATCGATGAACTCGCCATGCGCATGAACGGGCTCGCCAACAAGGTTCGCACCCTTGGTGAGACCCTCGAGGAGGTGAAGGTCGTGAAGAAATTACTCCGCATCGTGCCATCCAAGTACACCCAGGTAGCTATAGCAATTGAGCAACTTCTTGATCTTAAATCCATGTCCATGGAGGAGCTTGTGGGAAGGCTCAAAACGGCGGAGGATAGGAGTGATGCGGACGACGGCGTCGACAACGACGACCATGGCAGTGGAGGTCGCTTGCTCCTCACGGAGGAGTGGCTTTCTCGCTACCGGGGCCGCACCGGAAAGAAGAAGAGTACGTTCGACATCCGTAAGGTTCGATGCTACAATTGTCAAGAGTATGAGCATTTCTCCAAGGATTGCACAGCACCAAGGAAGGAGCAGGCACATCTCGCCGCCGTGATCGACGACGACGAGCCGGCACTGCTGTGATAATTCGCGAGGAGTTCAAAATAAAAGACAACAAGGTTAAGGGGGTGATTGTTGGAGTTAACCTTGTTGTTTATTATTTCATCATGTTTAATTTAGTTTATTTTGAGTCATTGATGCATTTTAGACTAGAGTGTGAGTGCACGGCGGGATGAGTCATGCCAAGTAGTGTGCGTCGCGTGGCACCGTGCATATGTTGTAGCGGCACTAATGTGTGTGTGCGCCGTTGCAATAGTGTTAGTCTAAGTTGGGTCAATTAGTTAAATTGCATATAAGTTACTACGTATTTGTTAGGCATGCATGTAATACGTACGTGTAGTATTACATTAGTTCTAGTTTAGTACGTGTGTAGTGGGTGAGTGCTTTAGTGGGTGGTTACAAGCATGCTACATGGTGTGTGAGTGGCTATTTATATGTGTAATCAGTTTGCTTTATTTAAGATATATGAAGAGATACGTATATGAGATTGAATGATGTTTTGCCAAAAGCTACGTATGAATCTTTGAGCACTACAAGAAAAGAAAACCTCTGCATGTTTTTTTCTTACGCATGTATTTTTCTTCTTCCTAAGCATTAAGCTGCGCATGCATTTTCTCTCCTAAGCAAATCCATCATTTGGTATCAGAGACATGGTAGGCGAAGGTTCGCGAACTCCGTCACGGTCGTCGGTACGTCGTGGGCGGAGTCCGACGCGGCGAGGCGGCCGCGAGGTGGTGCAGCAGCAGCGTGTCGTCCACCAGGCCAGCAGCACCGTCGTCTACCCGACGTTGACGGCAACGAACTACTTCGAGTGGGCGCTCATCATGAAGGTGAACATGGAGGCCCAAGGTGTGTGGGATGCCGTCTAGGGTGGCGGGAGCTTCACCGAGGATAGGGTGGCACTTGCGGCAATTTTGCGAGCCGTACCACCGGAGATGCACTCCACGCTTGCCGTGAAGGCGACGACAAAGGAGGCATGGGATGCCATCAAATCCATGCGTGTGGGCGATGAGCGTGTCCGTGAGGCCAAGGCACAAACTCTACTCAAGGAATTTGATGTCGTCCGCATGCGGAGCGGGGAGACGATCGATGAACTCGCCATGCGCATGAACGGGCTCGCCAACAAGGTTCGCACCCTTGGTGAGACCCTCGAGGAGGTGAAGGTCGTGAAGAAATTACTCCGCATCGTGCCATCCAAGTACACCCAGGTAGCTATAGCAATTGAGCAACTTCTTGATCTTAAATCCATGTCCATGGAGGAGCTTGTGGGAAGGCTCAAAACGGCGGAGGATAGGAGTGATGCGGACGACGGCGTCGACAACGACGACCATGGCAGTGGAGGTCGCTTGCTCCTCACGGAGGAGTGGCTTTCTCGCTACCGGGGCCGCACCGGAAAGAAGAAGAGTACGTTCGACATCCGTAAGGTTCGATGCTACAATTGTCAAGAGTATGAGCATTTCTCCAAGGATTGCACAGCACCAAGGAAGGAGCAGGCACATCTCGCCGCCGTGATCGACGACGACGAGCCGGCACTGCTGTGATAATTCGCGAGGAGTTCAAAATAAAAGACAACAAGGTTAAGGGGGTGATTGTTGGAGTTAACCTTGTTGTTTATTATTTCATCATGTTTAATTTAGTTTATTTTGAGTCATTGATGCATTTTAGACTAGAGTGTGAGTGCACGGCGGGATGAGTCATGCCAAGTAGTGTGCGTCGCGTGGCACCGTGCATATGTTGTAGCGGCACTAATGTGTGTGTGCGCCGTTGCAATAGTGTTAGTCTAAGTTGGGTCAATTAGTTAAATTGCATATAAGTTACTACGTATTTGTTAGGCATGCATGTAATACGTACGTGTAGTATTACATTAGTTCTAGTTTAGTACGTGTGTAGTGGGTGAGTGCTTTAGTGGGTGGTTACAAGCATGCTACATGGTGTGTGAGTCTGGCTATTTATATGTGTAGTCAGTTTGCTTTATTTAAGATATATGAAGAGATACGTATATGAGATTGAATGATGTTTTGCCAAAAGCTACGTATGAATCTTTGAGCACTACAAGAAAAGAAAACCTCTGCATGTTTTTTTCTTACGCATGTATTTTTCTTCTTCCTAAGCATTAAGCTGCGCATGCATTTTCTCTCCTAAGCAAATCCATCAACCACGGCGGCGGCGTGTGAGATGGCTGGATTGGATTTCCATGGCTGCGAAGAAGGAGAATTGAAGAAGACTGGATACCCTAGGTTGTGCAGAAGAAGAAATGAAGAAGGTGAAGGTTTTTTGAGAATGAGAAGCGGAAGGTTTTTTAGAAGAAGAAGCCGTCAGTTTTTCGTAAAACTCAAATCAAAGTCAATGTTTTTGTCTAATAAAAGTTGGGAGGTAATATTTGTACCATTATTTCAATTTTATATAACGGAGGGGTATACACACATAAATTAATGAGATCATACTTGAATGGTTTGGGACAAAGTAAGTCTTAAAATAATAAAATATACTCCTTTCATCCTTTTTTAGTTAGTCATCTTAACTATGACATTTCTCATCGATGATGGTAATATTTGACCTATAATATATTTATATACTACATCCGTCCCATAAAACAGTACACATTTCAATTTGGATCGTAGTTTAAGAAAATGAGAATAAAGAGAAAATGTATGGTTGTGGTTGAGTAAGAAAAAGGTAAATGAATGTGAGTCACACAAAACTTTCCGAAAAGAGAAATGGGAATAATTTTTTGGGACGACCCAAAAAGGAAAGTGAGAACTATTTTATGGGATGGAGGGAGTACTTAAGTAATTTTAATCGGTAACCTTTGACCTATGATACATTTATATATGTAAGTAATTTTAATATGAAAATGTTATGAAGAAACTAATTTATTTTACAAATATTATGGCAAGAGTAGACCATATATAAATTTCCCAAAAAAATTCACAAAAATGTATCATTGTTGACTAAAATTCAAAGATGTCTAACTCAAAAAGGACATAATTACTCCCTCTATCTCCGTCCCAATGTGATTTGTAAAATTTCCTATTTTGGTTGTCCCAAAATAATTTTCCACTTTCTATTTTAGGTATGTAAATAAGAATAAAATGACAAATTTACCGTTACATTTACTTTTTTCCATTAACTTAAAGGCATCTACTTTTAGGAAGATGAGCAAAAGTGTAAAAAACAAGCATCATTTATTATCACTTCTTAATCCTTGTGGTAGTCAAAGTTTGCAATTAAATTCGAGACAAATGGAGTAGTATATATCAAACATTTACCAGATCAAAGTTAAATAGACTCACTACTAAAGCAATCAATTATGTGAAAATATATTAAGAGCCCCTTGGTTAACTCGTGTTTCTATCTTATCATTCTTTTCAATCGTCTTTTATATCAAACACGTAGTTTTTGATTTCAAACTCTCGCTTATGTCATAGTCAAAATAATTAAAATTGAAGTTAATTACTTTTTAGATTGAACTTATTTAAGCTAATTTTTTAAATGAAATTAGTCAATTTCAATGCTTGAATATGACCATATATGAATATAGCTCCAAAAAGTACCAGTTTCTCTATTCTTGTAAAATTTCAGAGCTTTTAAAACAGTGAGCGATAAACAACCAAATTAATGACACTGAAACAGACGGCATAGTATTCCGACATTTGAGATTCCAACCAATATAGGTAGCCGTAGAGAACTTTAATTACTGTGACTCGTGAATTAAAACCGCTCTCGGGAATTGGGTGTCTATATAAACAATCACCTCTTTCCCTCATTCTCATCAACTCGGCCTTCTTTTCAACCCATAAATGCTCCGGCCATAGATCGTTTTCAAAAAAAGGGAGAGAAACATGGATTATTATGAAAATGGGTTCTTTGAAGAATTAGTAGCTCTGAGAAGTGATCCCCAAGAAATGGGAATGGAAATGGAAATGGGATTGATGAAAAACATCAGCAATTATTATTGCAATGATATTGACGGCGGGTGGCAGAGCGGCGATTCCTTCGGGAACACTACCCTTCCGACTACCCTTCCGCCAATCTCCGCCGTGGACGAGTGTTTTCCGTTTCAGTGGCAGAGCCAAGAGTACGGCGGATCACTCGCGGACTTGTACCACGGCGGCCCACAATTATTCGGAAATGACGGTGAACTCTGGCCGCCTCATTTTGCGGATTCGTTATTGCCATTCCCATCAGAATTGTCGTTAGACTTGAGCAGTAGTAGTACATCTTCTTCACAGATATTGGAGCCGGTACTTCTTGAAACGCCGGCGGGTTCTTTCGGTAACATCGCCGGATGTTGCCCTGAGAAGGAGGAGGAGGAGGCCGTCAAATCCAAGGTGAAGAAGGTCCATGGGCAGCCTTCCAAGAACTTGATGGCTGAGAGAAGAAGAAGAAAGCGGCTTAACGACCGCCTCTCCATGCTCAGATCCGTTGTTCCCAAGATCAGCAAGGTCATTATTAAGTTGCCCCTTTAACCGCTCATCAATATCATTAATCATATTTTTAATATGAAACTATTTAAAATATGAAAATTCTATAATTTTTGTTGTGATAGATATTTTTATAAAAATATAAAATTATAAATTTCACACAAATCATTACAATAGACTTAATTAAAAAGCTCATAAGAAGTACTGTACTTTTTTTAAGTCATAAAAAGTACGTTTTGAAAAGAGTACATTACATTTATTTTATTTGACAAAATAAATAATTTGAGAAATCACATTTTCAGTCACTCAAATACCACACACATTGAATACTCCGTAATTCTGATTTTTTCAAGTTTATAAATTTCACCCTTGAATTGTCCAAACTGATGTAAATGTGATCATTTGAAGGTTGACATTTATGATGTGGGTGAGAACCACATTTACAATAATTTGAACAATTGAGTGATGACATTTATATATCTAAAAATACGGATACTACATTTTAATTTGAGTACTATTTGATGGACAAAAAACGTGATTTCCCAAAATAATTTAAATACAATTCATACTTGACTATTTTTTACTACAATCTATAACTTTTTCATATAACTTTTTCGTTGTTACGATAGTATGATCGAGTAATTTAGCCTTTTTATCCCACATTCTTAATTAATTTGTGTGTCATAAGTGTGGTAACTAACTTTCATTTGTGACTTGGTTAGAATCACATACACTTCCTTTAACATCTACCTTTACTGGAATGACTAAAATTACATTTCAAGTGAAGTTTATTTGCACAGAAAATGAGAAATAATAAGAATAACAAATTAGTTATTTTAAAGAGGGAGACTAAAAACTATAAACAACCAAAAGAAAAGTTAGATAAAATCTGGAACGGAGTAGGATATTGTTTGAAATTGAAAAAGCCTTTTGGTAATCAGTATCATAAAATGAAATTACAAGATGTAGTCACATTTTTTACCTTGTTTTTGCTCTCAGCGTAATGCTTATTCTGCCCACATATAAACTGAAATAAAAACTTCTTTATAAGCTTAAATTACAGATAACACAACACATACTTCACCACAGTATCATGCTCCAATTTTCAACTCTAGGGGTGGTGGATGAATAATACTTGCAGTGTTTATTTGAAGGCTGAGACTATATAAGAATATAGTCCATTTTGCGTTTATTTTACATTAACACCAATTTACTTTTCCATGTCTCTTTAAATATAATTTAGTCTAGCCTTAAATGATAAATATTAGGATTGTGAATGTCACTTATTATATTGTCACCTTAAATATACAATACTCCATCCGTCCCCATTTAAAGGTTCTCGCCCACGTGCTATTGTCTGGTCAACATGCATTATTCTTAATCTTTTACTTTATATATCCAACTTTTATCAAATTTAATTTTTTTTAATTAGGTATTATAAAAATTTTAATGTAGTTTCTGAATATGTTAATTTCATTTACTAAAAATTATACTAATGATAGAGATCTTGACTTTAGAGGCAATCAAACATCGTAAACCACGTTAGAACCTTTAAATGGACGGAGGGAGTAGTTTATTGTTAGACTATTAGTTTTGGGTCAAGTTCGTACGTATATACTTCGTATGAAGTTTAATCGTAACACTACCTCTAAGATAGGCTCAAATGACTATATTTAACTTAATAATAATTAAATTAGATGAACACTTCTATCCAAGATTGTTGTGTATTGATCATGTGATAGAGATGCTGGAGTACGGAATGCGTTATTATAATTTTTATCAGATCATTACCATATCTATTTTCTGTTATGATCATTAGTTTTCATTGATTTTCTTACATACTATCCTCCGTATCTCATTAATTGCAACATTGGAATATATACATTATTCATGTACTTTAATTTGACTACATTTTATTTATTAATGTATGTGAATTATTATTTTTGAAAAATGTTGTTAAATTCGTCTCATTACTAAGTTTTATAACCTGAATTTTATTTTATTTTTACTAATACAAAATTAAATATAATGACAGTCAAAATTGTGCGTTGTCAAACGTAAAATGTTGACTGTTGCAACTAAAAAGAGACGGAGGAAGTACGTAGTATGTTACTATTTCGTAATTTTTTGATGTGGTATTTAGATTTGACATCTCAATATTCCAATACTTAATTGTTTGTACGGTTTCTTGGACACACGTTATGTTATACCGAGTATCTTAATCAATTGTTTCTCATGTGATATTATGCCCATCAGCCTCCAATACTCAAAAAATGAATAGGAACCCATTTTTCCTCTAATGATTTGTAAGAAAAAATGAAACTATCAAATAAAATAAAAATGTTTCGTGCTTTTCTATAAATTAGATATCTTCATAAATATATGTGCATGTTTGTTTAATCACAATGCTTATCTAAATTTGTTGTTTCATAATGTCTATCATATGCATAATTAATTGTAAGAAATAAAGATAAAACCATGCATGGCAATGCAAGGAATTAATACACATAATTTGTATACATAAGAGTTCCCCACATTAATCCCATTTTTTTTTGGCTAGGTAGATGGACAGAACATCTATATTGGGGGATACTATAGACTACATGAAGGAGTTGTTAGGGAAAATCAACAGTCTACAAGAAGAAATGGATGTGGGGAAGAAAGAGATGGGCATTTTGAAGAATGTGAAACCCAATGAAATGGAGGTTAAAATTTCTCCAAAGGTAAATAATATAATAACTTGAATAATATAATGGTTTCCATTTTAATCCTAACTGGCAGAACAAATTGACTTTCCGCAATTAAAATTTCGAATTTGAAAAATGTTCAGGGTCAAATTATAATTTAGATTTCCATTGCAGTTTGAGGTGGAAAGCAGTGGGGAGGTTGATACAAAGATAGAGATTTGTTGTGGAGGAAAGCCAGGGCTGTTACTAACCACAGTGGCCACATTGGAGGCTCTAGGCCTTGAGATTGAGCAGTGTGTCATTAGCTGTTTCAATGACTTTTCAATGCAAGCTTCCTGCACTATGGTAATAAAATACTCTTGTGAAGAGCCTCCTTGGTACTTTGGTAGTAGGATGGGCATTTTGGTTTTCATTCTTTTTCCGCTTTTGACAAACTCAAGCCAAGTATTTATATCGAAACCGTTGTCTTGTTTTGAAATATCTCGAAACCGTTTTCTTGATGTCCCTTTCGATTTAAGACCTAATTTTTTTGTCCCATACCTATTTAAAATGCGGTATGACCCGAGACCGGGACATCAGAAGGTTATCCTTTCGTGTCACATTATCCAACTTGTATGATTATATCATTGTAGAGATCCTTTAGTATTTGACTATTTTGTAGTAGAGGTTCAAAAAATAAGTACGAAGTATCAGTTTGCTTTTAGTTTTTCAATCCCAAATTATAAATTTAAACAATTATGCCTAGCATAAATATCCGCTAGTATAAGTTTCTCTCTCCGTAAATATACTTGTATATGAGTTTCTCATAACTAGATCACATTATATCAAGAAATTATTTCATTGTTTGCTTTCTTTTGAGTTATTTTTTTTTTGTGAGATTAGTGAATTTTTCTTCCTAAACTTCATTAAACTTTAATAGCTTTTAGTTTATTAAGTACATAGTTTGTTATTAACATTAATGACTTTAAGAATGTTAAACTTTTGGTGCATATATACAATTGAAATGCTAATATATTTTTACTTAAGTAAGATTTTTTTTTCGTTTAATTATATTTTTGTTAGTTTGGGACATCTTGAATAGTCTCGTTCCCGATTTACATGAGACAAGGATTAATTAGGACGAATGCTAGCTTATCCAGTAGTGTCTTGAAGGGTTCTTACAAATTCGGTTAGGACTCTAATAACCTTAATCTCAAACAATCCCAAACCATACCCACCCGATTTAGAGCCCGTTTGGTAACACTAAAATTGGTTACATTGGCTGATTCTGCTGAAATTTATGAAGTTCTGGCTGAAGTGGTTGTATTGGCTGATTTTGCTGATTAATGAAAAAATTATATTTAAAATATTTGTTATTAAGAAATTAAATAAAAAATTATATGAAAAATAGCTAAAATGATCCTCTGCAGTAACTTCAGGCAATACAACCAGAAAATTAACCCCAACATTACTTTTTCCGCTTATTACAAAATTCAGTGCGCAAAATCAAAAGTTACGCGTTAGGTGAAAAAGCTGGCTGATAAGCCTGATATGCCGAAAAAAGGGGTCACCAAATGGGCTCTTATTTTTAAATGGAAGGAATGTAGAGTTTAGACATTTGACATAAGGTAGCAATCTAACGCATGACTGGTGTAAATATACACTAGAAATGTACTTGATTGCTTATATTAGATAACATCATGGCTTAATTACCAAAAGTGTAAGGGTTTTTGAATCAACGAATGCAATAAACTAGAAATTACAGTTTGATATCAATAATCTTTTTCATTCGTGTTCTTCTTTTATAGCACAATATTGTAAACTATTTCTACTGATATTTCTCTCCATATATGCTCCTTAACTTTTGTGATGGTGATATTGTGATAGGAAACAGAGCAGAGAAAAGCCTTAAGTTCAGAAGATATAAGGCAGGCGCTATTTAGAAATGCTGGATGTGGAGGAAAGTGCTTCTAGTGGAAAAAAACATTTTTCAAGATTATATATATTGGGGAAGGAATTGTATGGAGATGGTCTCTAGATCTTCTCTAATATGGCATGCATTGAATATTATTAGTGATTAGCTTGTATGTAGTTATTGTTTTTTTTCCTTTTCATTCTAATAAAATTTGTGGGCATTCTATATATTTTCATCCAAATTCCGAAGAAAGCGCACAAAATGGAAAAATAAGAAAAACTAATTCCAAACATAGATAAATATTTTTAGAAATAATTACATATTTATGGCTAAAATAAAAATTGTTTTCAAAAATGTGACTCGTAACAAAAGTAGTAATGAATTAATAGTAAATTATGTTCAATTTTTAAACTTAAGTTACTATGATACTACATTGTGGTAACTTAAATAAGTTTTACGTTAGTAATATTTTTGCAAAAAAAACCCATATTTTTTAGTTTTTAAGTTTATTGAAAACTATTTGCAACACGCTTGATGACTATTTGCAAAACTATTTTCTAGTAAAAATCCCATATGTAATCATTTACCATTGTCCCAATTACCAACAACAACTATATTGAAGTGGAAGTATTTGCACGCTTGACTATTTGTCACACGGATAAATATGAAATAGGGAAAAGTACGGAAAAGATACTTGTGGTTGAGTCCGTTTTCATATAGAGTCATGCGTTTCCTTTTTTATCAAAGTGATTCATGTGTTTGAATTCCGTTATCACAATAGGGTCACACCGTTAAAAACGTCCAAGAAAGAAGGTTACTAAAACTTCGTTTTCAAAAGTGCCAGAAAAATTAAAAGAAAAATACCAAAAGGTGCGCCTCAACAAGACGACCGCTAGGTCATCTCTCTTTTGTTTTCAGCCACCCTTGTCACCGAAAAATCCACCGAAAAAGTGATATTAGTGAAATCATTTTTAAAAAATAACTCAAGCAGATCCGAAAAATTCAAAGGCGAAGGTGGTTTAAAGGCAATCTTGACGAGACACACCTTTTGGTATTTCTTTATAATTTTTCGGGTACTTTGAAAATCAGAGTTGCTATTAACCATTTTTTCTTAGACGTTTTTAACGGCGTAACTCTCTTGTCATAAAGAAATTCAAACACATGAACCACTTTGATAAAAAATGAAACACATGACCCTATTGAAAACAGGCTCAACCACAACTATTTTACTTTTCCCGTGTGAACTTTCCTATTTCACCCTTCCCATGGTTCTCATTTTCATAATGCATAGTTGATACTTGGAGTTCTTTCTAGAAGTGGTAAATATAAATTTAAAAAACTGGTTGGTTGTAGGATGAAATTTACCTAAAATAAATAAGTTCATCGCTTCCCTCTAAAATTTAGTCCAACTCCTAACCCTCTAGCCCTCTAGAATTAGGAAGGGTCCATAGCAACTTTGCAAGGAAAGTGGAGAAATTATTTGTTTGGAAGGATAGAGACAAATTGAGGCTCTTTTACTTTCTACTATAAAAGTAAACAAGCTTTGTAAACGTGCTCTAAATGGCGAACGATGATTGAGATATACGAAGTATATGTTCAAGGGGGAAAGATTCCGAGAATGGAGTCCCAGAGAGAAATAAGAACAAAGTGTAGTCATTAAATACATGAAATCAATGATTAAGATTGAGAATTGTGACCAATGGTTATTTAGTAATTAAGTAGAACGTTTTAGGCAATTAGATTCCTAATGCTAGCTGTATTAATGTTAAGGACAAAGCTGTAAAATACCATTAACTTTAAGTCGGAGCATTAATTGATGTTCCTCATAAAAATCGTTTCCTTCATGTGTTGTTACGGTCAGTCAAAACCACTCCATAAAGTTTGGATTATTAAATGAAGAATGACGAAACTAAGAGTTCCGGCTTTAGGGCGGACAAATTTAAGACTAATTTTCTATATGGACGAATATGTGATTAAAACTCACTTGAAGTGTCTCAAATACCCTCCCACCCGTTTATCTAATACTCCACTGACGGAGTATATTCCCGTACACCCCAGGGGTACCGCGATCGCCGGTAGAAAGCCTTGTGGGTTCATCGGGGGCAAGAAAATACTAAGTCCACGTCTGGATCCGACCCCGACCCCGACCGCCGAGGTCGGGGAACACCAGGCTCAGGAATCAAGTAAACTCAGCAGATAACAGGGTCCACCGACCCCGACCCCGACCTCGAGGTCGAGAAACATCGAGCTCAGGAGCCAACCAAACTCGGCGATCCATGAGCCCGACCTCGGGACATCCGAGGTCGGCATCAAATCTGACCTCAGAAGTCCTGCTCCAGGTCAACACCAATCAAAGCACCAGGCGGTCAAGTCACCTCCAGAGAGAGAACAGGAGACAGCAAACGAGTCCTCTCAACATGGGCCCGAGCCCCCAGATACCGACCTCAGTAACCCTCGAGGTCGGGAGAAAAGCACCATGTACTTAGGCGAAATCCGCAAGGGCTTAAGTCGTGAGGAAACATCGCCACGTCACTCTCCGCATTGGTGGAATACGCCGGATTGTCTGCACACGATCTCTGGCAGGAATTCTGTTAGAAGAATAAATCAATCAGCCAGCTATCAGAAGTTCTCTCTCCAATGAGCTTTCCACGTGGCTGCTCCCGGTTCATTCAGGCTGATAGTTTGTTAGAGTAGCTTTACACGTGCCCCTCTCCTATTAGACTAGAATCTTCTTACTTGGGCACCAAATGTTTCCTTTTCTCCTTAGTATAAATATCACCTTCCAACTTGTGAATAAAAAGGCTTAATCTATTGCACTCTTGAAACTGATACACTGGGATTTTGTTAATCGGATACCTGACTTTTCCGTCCAGTTCACTCTCCCCTTTACTTTCATTCTCGGTGGATTCCGGCTACCCCTGGTCCGACGATCCATCATTTTTGGTGCTTTCATTGAGAGTCGAACTCTGAACAAGTCAGATCATCCCAATTTTCTTCAGATCCACAGCGAGTTTCTCCACAACAATGGCGGGAAAGAAAAACCTCAGATCTCGACGTGCTGCTGCCGCCGTCGCGCAGGTGGAACCCTCGCTGGAAGCTACTGCTACTTCCGGTGCTAGGAGGGCCGCCAAGGGGAAACAAGTCGCTGGACCTTCTGTTGATCTGCGCAGCCAGATCCAGCGTACTTCTCTAGATCTGCGCCAACAGATCTCTTTCAATCGTGATGCAGCGACAATGCTGTCCGCACAGGTGATCCCACAATTCCCGAACCTTCTGATGGTGGATCCCTCTACGGCGGTTGGCGCCCTCATCACTGGACTGCAGCAGGTGCTCCCCACGCTAAAATCCCAGTCTGCGGCTATTGTGGCTCCTCAGGCCACTCGACCTATCTCTCCGGCGAATTCTAGATCTCACTCTCTGAGAGTAGGCTCTATTGATGCTCCTTTGGTGGAGGAGAGACCGGCGCGGATGATCTATCAATCACCCCCTCGCCAGAGGGCGACTCCGGGGATCAACTCACCCCCAATCCGCCGGGTGGCTTCCGCAGCACCTGTGAACGTTGTGCCTCTCGCACAACAGGCAGAGACTTCTCATCCCACTACGGCAACGCAGAGGATGGCACCTCTGCCGCCTCCCGCATTGCCGGCCAGGTACATTACACGCCGTGTTGAATACAGCTGTACTAATGATGAAGGTGTCTATGCTGTCACCACTGAGGACTCGTCGCAGTCCCCCTCCCTGCACCAGGATGACAACCCCAATCGTTGGATTGAGGTGGGAAGGCGTCCCATCTTCTCCAGATTGGGGGACAGATCTATGGCGAATCAGCGCCTCTCTATCAACATACGGGGGATTAACAGGCCAAACTCCCCAGTCCTCGACATTCCCTGACACCACCAGCAGCAACAGCGGGGGAGAAGGACTCCAAAGCGCGTACCCGCTTTGGAGAGGCTAGGGGGCAATCATTCCCCCAGATTCCCCCCCCCCCCCCCACACCACCAACAGATGCCTTCTACCCAAGGCAACGACGCACTTCGCCGCTGCCCCAGCAACAACGACGGCCCCTGCGACAGCCAAGGCTGTCACCGCCGAGGCGGCAGGTGGAATCTCCACCACGGCGCCAGCGCCAGGAGGACCCGAGAGAAGAACAGGTCCACCTCCTGACCCAATAGGTCAATGAGCTGCGGGCTGCAGCTGCTACAACGGTACCACCACCGCCACCGCCTACTCAGCACACGACGCGTGATGCTCAGCTATAAGTGCTAGTGCTCCAGGTTCAGCAGCTCAAGGCTCAGGCCAACCAAGAGCTCGTAACGGTAAGGGTAAGGACTGCCACCCCCTTTACCACACGAATCATGCAGGCTCCTATACCCCCAAAGTATAAGGGACCTAATATTCAACTATATGGGGGTAAGACTGACCCCCAAGAGCACTATACCTGCTACCAGTACGACATGTATATGTTGGGCGCTAGCGAGGAATACATTTGCCGTATGTTTCCCTCCACTTTAGAGGGGGAGGCATATGACTGGTTCAACGACCTCCCGGATGAATGCATTGACTCATGGAGGGAGTTAGCCACCCGCTTCCTCACTCATTTTGTTGCAAGGGCAAAGACGAAGAAGCACTTCTCCTACCTGTTGTCCGTCAAGCAGGGCAGAGACGAGCCTTTGGGCAAGTTTCTGGAGCGATGGAATGAACAGGCCTCCAAGGTCTATGGAGCTGATGACAACACTCGCCTGGCTATGCTCCAGGAGGTCCTGTGGACTGGAGGCTTCTCAAGGAGCCTTATCATTGACCCTCCACGAGACTATCAGCGGGCGTTTCACCGTGGGCAAAACTATGCCCTAGCGAAGGAGGTGCACAGCCACAAGAGGGCGCAGGAAAGTGTTGCCAAACCCCAGAAGCAGGAACAAAAACAACCGGAAAAGCCAAAGCCACCGCGGAAGGACAAGCCTCGCGACGACAGCAATAGAGACCGAAACAGGGGCCACTTCAAAGGCAGGCGCCCCTGGACAGGTGCCAAGTACCTAGTGCCTGAGGTCCTGACACCACTGACCCACTCTGTCAGCCATATCTTGGAGGCAGCAGATCAGGAAGGCCTGGTGGTTCGGGACCCACGAATCAATGAGATCCAGCAGAAGGATAAGTCAGGCCCCTGTTGCAAATTCCACAGGTTATATGGCCATGCTACTGATGAATGTCACACCCTGAAGCTGGAGATTGAGAAACTGATCAGTCGTGGCTATATG